TGTACTGATGGGCACTGATAGGTGGCAATGATAGGCACTGATAGGTGGCACTGATGAGGGCGGCACTGGTGGGAATTGATGAGGAGGCACTGATGAGGCTGTACTGATGGGCACTGATAGGTGGCAATGATAGGCACTAATGAGGCGGCACTGGTGGGAATTGATGAGGAGGCACTGAAGGGCACTGATGAGGCAGCTCTGATATACGGCACTGATAGGCGGCAATGATGGACACTAATAGGCAGCACTAAAGGGCACTGACTGGTACAGATTGGCAACACTGATGGGCAGTTTTGGGGTTGCACTGATAATCAGCGTAGATGAATCCTTTCACGGTTGCCGATTATCGGCAGTACTTTCCTCACGCTGTGACAGTGCTGCTGATAACCGGCAAGTGGATTTACATGGCGATCAGCTGTGATTGGACACAGCTGATCACGTGGTAAAAGACCTGTGATTGGCCCTTTACCATGTCATGTGATCAGCTGTGTCCAAAGGACACAGCGACCACAGAGAGCGGCGAATGCTCGCCGCTGGGGGCATGCAGGGGGGGCACGAGAACACATTTTGGCAGGACATCATATGGCGCCCTCCCAGAACTGGATGACTGTACTGTAGTTGTCATTTGGCCATAGCGAGGTCAAGAAGGGGTTAAAGCCTCCGTGTGCACGGACACATAGGATAACATGCTGGGGAGTTTACCTGCTGTAGAAAAAAATGCCTGATGCCAAAAAACAGCCACTGCAAAATCGCCCCGTGTGCACGAGGACTACAATCTGGCATTGCCAGCTATGGACATTGTATACAGCCTGGAGTTAGTCTGTCTTCTGCTGGTTCCTCCATCAGCTGGTGAGTGTTCCTGGCAATAGAGTACGGAGGCGATGATATCCTGAGTGATGAATATTTATATCCCCCCCCCCGGCCAACCACTAGTTTGGTGGTGCATGCTGGAGGAGGGTATAAATAAATCATAAATACACGGGGGAAGTTCTAGGAAGCTTTCTTATCCCCCACCCACCCCCCGGTCTGTCCTTGGAGGGGGTGTGCTTTCCGCCTCTTACCTTTTAGTTGTGCTGTCTGGGGAGAAAAACTGCCAGGAGAAACGCCTGGGTCCTTTGGCCTGAAGCTTATGCAGAACATGACTCCAGGAGGATGGGAGCAGAAGGGTGGATGCACCCTGCAGAGGGCGGGGCACAAGCAGATACTCATAGACCTCACGAGCTGCTTGAACAGCTAACCATATATTAAGTATTGCTGGTCTCCAATATAAATCTGAATTCCAGGAATTCAGCTCCATTGTGAAAAGTGAGGACTAAGTGATGGGTTAAGTCCAAGGAGGTGCATGGCACCTAATGGACTTATCTCTGTTTTTTTTCTACATCTGTTAAATTTATGGCTCTGCCGAGGATATACTCTGGGATGTGAGAGAGGAGAGAAGCACACAGAGCAGCTATGCACACCTCTCCCCTCTGCTCCCTATTCACAGAAGCCTTTGTATTTCGTGAATGTATTCACATATTACAAAGGCTTCTGTGACTGGACAGGAGGAGGAGAGGGGTGGGCATAGCAGCTGCAGTGACTCTGTTGATGATGCCAACACCAGAAGGTCTAGCGTCCAGTGTCGGGCTCCCAGAACTACAGCGATCGTTCTATAAACCTGTCAGATGTAAGAGTCCAGGAGGTGGGATGCTCCGTATTGGACTTAACCCATAATGTGCCTTCACTGTTTACAAAGGAGCTGAATTCCTGGTTTTCCAGTTCACACTACATGCGTTTCAGTGTGCTTTTTTTCTGCATCCACAACGCATAGAAAGTAGGTTCTATGGCGGTGAATGTCATAGTTCACATCAGAACCTAGAACCGGCTGCATTTTGTCTGCACAGAACTGTACTGGAACGCGGTAAAACACATCAAAAATGCACCGGAACACACTGGAACACACTGGAACACACTGGAACACACATGCCCCTATTTAAATTGAAGAAAAAGAGAGGCAAAAAAGTGAATCGAAATGCATAAAAATGCACTGGAATGTGCCAAAAACGCAGAAAAAACGTGCATGCCAAAACGCATCTGGACTGCGTTTCTACGGTGTGAACTGGCCCTTAACCCCTTCCCGCCGGTGCCTCCCAGCCCTTTAAGAGTTTCAGGAGGCGGGGCGGGCGGTGCGTGGTTTAGGGTTCATGTGATCGCCGTGATGACACGTCACGGCAGTCACATGATCGGGAAAGGTCCCGATCGAAAGAGCAGACCGGGACCTTTCCGTGAGTACCGGACATGTGTGCTTGGAGCACGCAGGGCACGCACTCTCAGCACATATGTTTTTTTCTTACCTGAACGCAAATGTGCGGCCGCTCAGCATCTAGGCCCAGACACAGGGAGGACGCACATTTGTGTGCGGCCGGCGTAAAGGGGTTAAAGTCATTGGGACTGGGCTTTCCGAACCCTGTGCTGTGTAACATCTTCTTTCACAGCTTCACGTGTCACCAATATCTGTTACCCAGTTCAGAACAGAGATTTTAGGAGCCCATTTATCAAACAAATCTGCCGTGCAGATGCATCAGCATTTGTACAACCGTTGGCAATAATCCCTGTAATCTGTCAAATACGTGTTTTATTTTTAATGCTCATCAGCTCCATCTAGTGGCAAAAGCACAGAATTTTTCTGAAATACCACGTTCAGTAAAATACTGCTTTGTGGTCACTAGGTGGCGCCGACGAGCAAAGGAAAAAAAACATATTAGACACATTATGGGGATTATTGGTGAACGCTGTGCCATTCATGCAGCGAATTATTTATAACTAGACCCTATGTGTGTGGAAGAAGAAGAACGTCGGTTTTAGAGCCATGTAACAAGTACGGCACATTATTAAGAGTATGATGGGTACAGATGAAAAAAAAAAAAAAAAAAAAGAAACTACTGATTAGTAGCAAAATATTCCATTAGGTTACAGAATCTTGGCGTGCAAGAAAGATGCCTTCTAATACTGGCAATCGGCTGGTTCTAGCTCCGAGGTTTATTCTTACTGGTTGCTGCAAGGGAAGTGCGAATCAATGCGATCATTTGTTATAAGGAACCTTATCCAGTCATACCGGACCGGAGTGCTTAGTATGCGTTCCTCGTGTCTGCCCAGCACTCCCTGAAGCACAAGGGCAAAAAAAAAAAGGAGAAGTGTTTTAGGTTGGATTGCTTGATACATATTAGTACTTAGTTACGCATTTGCGTCTCTGTTTGCTGCGACGCGGTGAGATGACAAGTGCCTGCAGCATCTTCTAACTTTTACAATGTAGCGCTCATTCCCGGCTTTGGCTCCTCCATTGGGAGAATTCTGATGAATACGTCTCAGAACAGTTACCAAAGTGGACCTGACCCGGACCAAAGTGCCCAAAGGTAACAATGGTGCTGAAATGTAAAGTTACGTGTGTAGGCAGGTGCAGTTAGCCTTCCTGCCTGTTGGTGGCCCGTAGGGTTCAATATTGAGTTGGCCCCACCCTTTGCAGCTATAACAGCTTCAACTCTTCTGGGAAGGCCGTCCACAAGGTTTAGGAGGGTGTCTATGGAAAGGTTGGACCATTCTTCCAGAAGCACATTTGTCAGGTCAGGCACTGATGTCGGGGGAGGAGGCCTGGCTCGCAGTCTCCGCTCTAATTCATCCCAAAGGTGTTCTATGGGGTTGAGGTCAGGACTCTGTGCAGGCCAGTCAAGTTCCTCCACCCCAAACTGGCTCCTCCATGTCTTTATGGACCTTGCTTTGTGCACTGGTGTACAGACATGTTGGAAACAGGAGTAAGAGTTCCCTTCACTGGAACTGGGGGGCCAAACCCAACCCCTGAAAAACAACCCCACACCATAATCCCCCCTCCACCAAACTTGGTACAATGCAGTCAGTCAAGTACCGTTCTCCTGGCAACCGCCAAACCCAGACACGTCCATCGGATTGCTAGACAGAAGCGTGATTGGTCACTTCAAAGAACACATCTATATTGTGTCCTTATTACATGGTGTAATTCACAATGCTGGGTGCAATAACTAAAAGCAAGTCATACTGTCATGATCAGGGGTCAGGCTCAAAGACCAGTTGCTATAGCTGTGGAAAGGCTCACCTGAAACCAGCAGGATAGGTACACAGGAAGGTCACCGTGGCGGAGGAGTGGGATCACCCAAGGTGCATAGTCTAAGTACCAACTGGTGTTCACCAGAGCTCCTGATGGTGGAGATGGATTTTGCTGCGTGTTAGCACCAGGTCGTGGTCCTCAGGATCACCCCACCAGGAGGAGAGCAAGAAGAGGTCCAGGTAAGGAGCAAAAGGAAGTGTGGTCAGTAAACAAGCCAAGGTCGGTAATGAGCACTCGCAGGTTGGAATCAGGCAGAAGCGTAGTCGAGAACAAGCCAAGGCCGGTAATAAGCAGTCACAGGTTGGGATCATTCAGAAGCCTAGTCGAGAACAAACCGAGGTCGGTAATGAGCAGTCGCAGGTTGGGATCAGGCAGAAGCGTAGTCGAGAACAAGCCAAGGTCGTTAATGAGCAGTCGCAGGTTGGGATCAGACAGAAGCGTAGTCGAGAACAAGCCAAGGTCAGTAATGAGCAGTCGCAGGTTGGGATCAGGCAGAAGCGTAGTCGAGAACAAGCCAAGGTCAGTAATGAGCAGTCGCAGGTTGGGATCAGGCAGAAGCGTAGTTGAGAACAAGCCAAAGTCGGTAATGAGCAGTCGCAGCTTGGGATCAAGCAGAAGCGTAGTCGAGAACAAGCCAAGGTCCGTAAGGAGCAGTCGCAGGTTGGGATTAAGCAGAAGCGTAGTCGAGAGCAAGCCAAGGTCGACAATGAGCAGTCACAGGTTGGGATTAGGCAGAAGCGTAGTCGAGAACAAGCCAAGGTCGGTAAGGAGCAGTCGCAGGTTGGGATCAGGCAGAAGCGTAGATGAGAACAAGCCAAGGTCGGTAATGAGCAGTCGCAGGTTGGGATCAGGCAGAAGCGTAGTCGAGAACAATCCAAGGTCAGTAATGAGCAGTCGCAGGTTGGGATCAGGCAGAAGCGTAGTCGAGAACAAGCCAAGGTCGGTAATGAGCAGTCGCAGGTTTGGATCAGGAAGAAGCGTAGCCGAGAACAAGCCAAGGTCCGTAAGGAGCAGTCGCGGGTTGGGATCAGGCAGAAGCGTAGTCGAGAACAAGCCAAGGTCGGTAATGAGCAGTCGCAGGTAGAGATCAGACAGAAGCGTAGTCAAGAACAAGCCAAGGTCGGCAATGAGCAGTCGCAGGTTGGGATCAGGAAGAAGCGTAGCCGAGAACAAGCCAAGGTCCGTAAGGAGCAGTCGCGGGTTGGGATCAGGCAGAAGCGTAGTCGAGAACAAGCCAAGGTCGGCAATGAGCAGTCGCAGGTTGGGATCAGGAAGAAGCGAAGTTGAGAACAAGCCAAGGGTCAATAACGAGTGGTAGCAAGATATGGATAATACCAGAGATGATAAGGAGCACAATACTGGCTGGAGAGCACAATAATCTGGCAAGCAGGAAGTACAGAGATATGGCTTATATCAGGAAGTTCATGGGAGGAGCAAAGGGTTCAAGGTTCATGATAAACAAGGTCAAGGTAGGATCATCCAAATAATTTTCAAGGGAGCTGTCTAGCATTCCAGGTGGCTCAGCAAGAAGAAACATTGCCTCTCACCACAGAAGGCCCAGGTTTGGACCCAGGCTCTGACACATACTGTATACATGCACACAATCAACAGGTAGTCACACACACAAGTACTTATAATCAGCATTTACACCATTACATATTCTACACATGTAAAGACCCCCTACTGAATGAACACCTACTCTGGCACATCATAGCATTCACCTGGAACTCCAAGAAATAACAGAATCCAACTGCAGTATTCTTGCAATGTCAAAACCTCCACTTTTATTGACACACAGGAGGATATATCTTATAGTCATCACAATCTGCATAATAACACACCAATAATAATGTGAGCACTACAGCATGAAATAGACACATCGTTTGACAGTGTCACAGCATAGAATTAATACATTACCAAAGCTATGTGAAGGCGGGAAGGAACAGATCCCATTGGCACAGGGGGTCACAGGGAAGCCGTGAATGCAACCAATCGATAGCCCATATAGCCTTGGCAACAGTCACAGTGTCAGAGCGTCCCCAGGCAACTAGGAGGGATTCCTAATTGATGCCGTTTGGACTCCCGGCTTTTAAACCAATTTTCTGGCCGCTTTCCATAGGTGGGCGGGCGCCACACCCACTCTAGGAGGAATAGCAGAAAGGTTCCGTGAGGATAACAGAGTCATGCCCATCCACCATATTGAATCAACTTCGTCATCTAAAAAGTTATCTGAAAAGTCACACTTTTGCTTCAGATCAGCTTCTTATCTACCCTAAACTTCTTCTCATCTACTCTAAACTTAAAGATTTCTAAGCAAGTAGACATCCTTAAACAGGTTCTTATCTTCTAATGTGACATGACTAGATGTCATAAACATGTTCAATCCCACAAACAAGTTTTTATCTTGCTTTGAGCAGAATATCTTGTGACTCTGATGGTGACTCCAGGGGTGGACTGACCATTCGGGCACTAGGGCACTGCCCAAGGGCCTAGGGTCAGTAGGGGGCCACATGAGATGCCGCTAGTACCTTTCATAGGCTTTTTTGGGTGTGGTTTTGAGTGTGGATGAGTACACAGGGGCCCCATGATCCCCTATTGCCCAAAGGCCCCATGACTTGTCAGTCCGCCCCTGGGTGACTCTGTTCCTTTAGCCTAGAGAAATGACATCAGTCACTTCTCATGCTCCTGGCATTTGGGAAACAATTCTTTATTGTAAAAAATTACCCAAGAAACAAAGGGTCCAAGGCCAACCTTCCCGGCACTAGGAACCAGCCAACCCCTCCACGGACTTGGAGGGAGGTGCAGCTTGTCACCTCTCTGTTGGGGGTGCAGCCTGCCACATTGGGGGGTGAAGCCTGGGTTTCACTAGAAATTCTGTCCTTGGCCCGGCTCCTTTCCCTCCCCTTCTTCTTCTTCTTGACCACAGAGAGGGAAGGGAGTAGTGGTGCTGGGAGAAGGGGAACAGGCGCTCTGTCACGATATAAGGTCAGGTTCAGAGACCAGTTGCTATAGCAGTAAAAGGCTTACCTGAAACCAGCAGTATAGGTACACCAGCGGATCCCCCTGGGAATGACGCAGGCTCACCTGAGGTGCGGGGTCTAAGTATTAACCGGTATTCACCAGAGCTCCTAATGGTGGAGATGGATTGGGCTGCGTGTTAATACCAGGGTCGCAGATCTCAGGATCACCCCACCAGGGAATGAGCAGACTGGGAACCAATAGCGGATCAACAGGTTAGGGATCAGACGAAAGCAGAGTCAGTCACAAGCCAAGGGTCAGTCACAAATGGTAGCAGATCAATCGTAGTACGTTAGGATGAGACGAAATCGTGGTCAGGAACAAGCCAAAGGTCAGTAGCGGAGGTGTAGACAGCAGCAGGAACAGTAGCGGGATATTGGCTGGAAAGGCACAATAATCTGGCAAGGAGGAAGTGCATGGACATGGCTTTTATAAGGAAGTTCATGGGAGGAGCAAGGAGTTCAAGGTTCAAGAGTTTTCAAGGCACAAGGCAGGATTATCCAAGAATTGTCAAGGAAGCTGTCCAGCATTCCAGATAGCTCAGTGAGAAGAGACATTGCCTCTTGCTGCAGAAGGACCAGGTTCAATCCCAGGCTCTGACACACCCTCTGGTCAGAGGGTGGCAGTGCAGGTTGTGCTGGCTTGTTCTGCCTTCCACCAACCCCCTGCCATGTGGCCTGGCTCCCAGCTGGCCATAGACTGGCACCAGTCCACAACCTTGGGGTTGGAGACTCATGCCCTAGAGGAGCCATGCCATTATTGCATGGGAAAGGGGCGTCTCATAGGGAATTTGAACTCTTAGAGGAGCCTTTCTCAACCTTTTTACCCTAGAGGAACCCCTACAATCATTTTCATTTCTTGGGGTACCCTTAACAAGACTACTGAATTGGGGGGTCAAGGCAAAAATGCCCCTCACATTAGTGGTCAGTAGGAGGAATGGAACCCCTGTAGTGGTGGTCTGAATGCCACAACCAAAATGATAATTGGAGTCATTCTACTGGCTTTGCCAAGTGGTAATGGTCTTGGAACTATGCAGGCACCACCAAATGAAAGATCAATCTTCCACAGCTCAAGGAACCCCCTAGCAACCACTGGAGGAACCCTAGGGTTCCAAGGAGCACTGGTCGAGAATGGCTGCCTTAGAAATTTCATACAGTGCTATGAGAGGAGAAGTGGTCTGATTGGACACTGAACTCTCGAGAGACTCTGGTGGCCATTTTGGGTGTGCAATCCTTTTAAATAAGGGTACCCAAGTCACTTTGGTGCGCTTCTGGTGTCTGTATGGTTAGGGACAGGAACCTGCTTGTGAGGGAAAGTGCAAAGCGTAGGGAAAGGTTCCTGAGGAGTAGGTTCAGGGCAGGCTCCTTGGTTATTACTAATCCTCCAGTGTACTTTTCCCCGGAAATATCCTTAAAGCGGAGTTCCACTTATACTGTAAAAAATAAAAGTCAGCAAATACAGAAACTGTAACTGCTGACTTTAAAAAAAAAGCAGCCACTCCCCTGTCCCTCGATCCTGCGGTGTCCTCCCCGCAGCCCGTTTCACCGGCCGTCCTGGATTCCCAGTGCTGACATTTTCAGTGGGAGCACCCAGCAGCTTGTGATTTCACAGCCTGGTGCCCACTGCGTATGCACGAGTAGAGCTGCGCTTTCTGAATGGTCACGTGTCCTAGAAGTCTACGAGGAGGGAGGGCAGGACAACTTCCTAGGCAATTGGGAGTGGGTACCTATCAAATTTGGGTACCACCCCCCCACTCCCCAAAGGTGCCAATCCTCAACAAGGAATGGGAGACCAGTTCTTGGGGTGGAGCTCCACTTTCAAACCAATGAAACAGCCAAGCTCCTCACCCTTTCCCTAGCTATCACCTCGACTGTTGCAACCCCCCTACACAGACTATCCCCCCTTCAGCCCATCATGAAGGAGGCTGCCAGATTCATCCGCCACACCGATCGCTCAGTTTCAGGCGGCCCTGATATCTTAGGTGGACTTATTGCATTTTTACTGCAAGGTCCACTTTTAGTCATTTAGCAATTATGTTATTTAATATCTCTTTTAGCAAAACAGAAACAGAAGCTAATAAATAATTCAACAGAAATAACAGAAAATAGCAAAATCCACACCAAACTATTAGACTACGGGTGCAAAAATAAAACAACAGCTGCTATTTGTGATGGGGGAGGGGGGCAGACCTGTCTGATGCAGTAAATGGGCCTCACATTTTACTACAAGGTCCAGTATGAAGTGCTTCTACAGGGAAAACATTTCTACTTAATGCATTCCCTACAGTAAGGTACAATATGTCCCATTATTTGTATTGCCCCCCCCCCCCCCCCATACTCACTTATGATGATGGGCTGCATGTTCGAGTCGAACATAGGTTCGACTTGAACACGGGCCATTCACGTGTTCAGCAGGCTTTTCACCAGCCGTGCCCCACAAGGCACTGCGCCCTGACAGTGCATTGTGATCGGCCAAAGCGTTGCACTTGACCACAGGTCAGGTGCAACGCTTTGGCCAATCACAGAGCATGATGATGTCACAAGGGGGCGGGGGTGATCTTGCCCCCTTGTGGCGTCATCACCTTATTAAGGAACTGTCATGGTGGCACAGCTGCCAGACGGTGGAGCAAATTTTTTTTCCTCTTTTTTTCGGGTCGCGGTGGCGGCGGGCATCATGACTGATGTTGGATCTACTTCCTTTGGGGAAACATTTGTTTATTTTTATTTTTAATAAAGGAATTGTCACAGACTGTCTCCTGTCATTTTCTATGCTACACTTTTTTTTTCGTGAATAGGTAGCGGTACCACATACTCATAGGGGAGGGCTGACATCTGGGGGCCCCTTCTTGTGGTAAAGAGGCCCTTGTCCCCATCACCATGGGGACAAGGTGCTTTGGGGGGGATGCTCCCCCTCATGTTGAGGGCATGTGGCCTGGTATGGTTCAGGAGGGGAGGGGGTCATCCCCCTCCTTTCCTGGCCTGCCGGTTTGCATGCTCAAATAAGGGTCTGGTATGGATTTTGGGGGGATCCCCACACCATTTTTTTTTTTTTAATTTTGCCATAAAATCCATACCAGAACTGAAGGGCTTGGTATGGATGGGGGGGGGGGGGCACCCTGTGCTGTTTTGTTTTGTTTTTTCTTAATTGTCGGGACAATTCTTTTGACATTCAGCTGTCAGCGGGGAACCCCACTGACATAGGAAACATGAATGAATGTCTCCCTACTATAATATTGCTTGACGTCATCATGGAACTCATGCCAGATTGTAGTCACTGAGTGGGATCTCACCATATACTCACATGCAGGAAGATACCGCTCAGTAAGAAATGCCCGCAGCGATAAAAGAAGAAAATAATTAGCGCAGGGCAGGCATGACTAGGTCCAGAGTGGGAAGGAAGACGTGTGAGGGGTTAATATTAGTATTAGGGTTGGTAAAGGATAGCTGGGGGATCTGGTTGGTAGAGGAGAGTGTAGGCGGGGTCTCCTGCATTTTAGGGTGGGGTGTTCTGGGGAGGGGCGTCAGTTGGGAGCTGGACGTGGGAGAGAGAGCTTCCCT